CGCATAAAACGTGTACCTGCTTTATATATGCAACCCCCCTACTTTTTGGGCTTGGAAATTTTGGAAAAAAAGGGTGGCTTATACATGGGGAAATACGGTAATATAAAAGCCAAACGGCTGCAGTACAACGAGTTTTATCAGTCCTCATCTGGTGAGATAGACAAACGAATCTCTTCTTCATGTACTTTCATTCGAAACGAAGGTCGCCCTAACAATGTTATCTCAGGAGAGTCATCGAAACCAAGTTTCTCTTCGAATCTATAAAGCCAAATGGTTGCAGTACAACTCTAATCAACTGTCCTATTCTAGTGAGATCAACCCATGAATCTCTTCCTTATTCACTTTCATACGAAATGAAAGTCCTCCCAACAATGTTATCTCAGGAGATTCATCGGAACCCAGTTTCTCTTCGTATCTGCACTTTACATCTATCTAGGTTTTTTATTTCATTTTGCTTAATTGAGTCTATATAAGAGGTAAGATAGAGCCGGATAGTGTTCTTGCTTTAGTGTTAACGTGACAAATTTACAGGAATTAGACCCAGCTCTGATGATGTCCATCATATGATGGACGAAAGCTCAGCCAGTTTTGTCGTATTGAAGCTAAATGGTTGCAGTACAACTCTAATCAACTGTCCTATTCTAGTGAAATCAACCCATGAATCTCTTCCCTATTCACTTTCACACGAAATGAAAGTCCTCCCAACAGTGTTTTATGTCTGGAGACTCATCGAAACCCAGTTACTCTTCGTATCTCCAATGCTATCCTCGGATTGAACTCGTTTTCTCAACCTGATTGGAGTGACAGCGAGGCCTTGAATTCTTTGTAAAAATATTCGCGTTGGTCTCCAGCATCGGACCGTTGACTTGATACATTCCCATACGTTTTGTCGGCATAGTTAGCAAAGAGTTACAACGTATCAAAATGACGAATTTTCTCCTCTCCCCGTTCCTATTTTATATCCCGCCTTCTGGTGCTGCATTTTTTCTCTTCATCCCACTCCACATCACCCAGTTGCCTATTCACACCATTCTGTGCTCTCGTTTCCTCCAAAAGTCACCGAATAGTGTGTCATTTCAAGTGGATTAGTGAAATAATCACTTTAAACTCCGGTCTCAGATGCCGTTTGTTGGACTGTCCGTGTAAAGTCACTTTTCCGCGCTTCACACTGCCTTGCATATCTCAGCGGCTGCGTGAGTAACAGAAGAAAATCGATAAACAGCGAATTTGATCTTGCCTGTAAATATAGCGGCTCTGCCTTGTGGGCGCATTTGGAAAAATCGATGCCATTCCCGTACGATGCAAAGCAGACTGAGAGCCGTTCCAAAGGCAGCCGAAAGTAGTGCCTGCGCCTTGGGCTGAGTCACCTTCGGCCGAATTGCAAGTCTCTGCATCGCACAACCGGAACGTCCACGGGCTTTTCGGATGGGCGAACAAAATGCGCTGCTTGGCAGCAGCTCGAGAATGCACGAGTCTACGATGGCGGCTCGTAGTGTTGCCGGAACGGCGCCAATCTGAAGCTGGCATGTGTGTGTGTGTGTGAGTGTGCAGAGCAACGATGCGGGACGAGTTGGATGGTGTGCAATCGTGCAGAATACGACAAACGGTGGGCCTGTGAAGAGTCGAGTCGCGGCTGGGTGGTTTTCATTTCATCTTCATTTCACATCATTTGTCATAATTGCCTCGAAAGGACGCCCACTCTTCTGCTAGTTTGTGGCTTTTGCGCAACCATTTCGCCACACTTCGCAAGTCTTCACAACACAGGCTACCCTGAAAAGGTCGGCGTTGCTACCCTCCAACCGCATCGAATTCTTCAGCTTCACTTTCTCCCCGGCGACCAGCCTGGCTCCCAAGGCATCGTCTGCTCAACAGCCCATGTCCGCCCACTCAGTTGTCCACTTCAAGCATTACTGATCGCGTAGTCAAGGCGACGTGAGCGTCGACGTGGCACAATTCGCG